GAGGGACGGTCACCCAGTTATACAAAAAACTACTGCTGATTTTTGAAAATTAAAAAAGTCCGTTTCACTTGATATTGCGTGAAGTCTTGAATTCGAAGCAGTGGCAGTTATAAATACACATAGATACATCAAGATAATTTAAACTCTTTAAATTTATCTCGCAAAGTACTGAATTAAAAAAATCTTTTGATTTTAAATACATGAACACGTGTACACAAACTCATGTATTTAAACAGTTAATTGTTTTACATCGGTAAAATATAATTGCAAAAAATACTTTCTATGCAAGAGACCAATGTTGACATGATTATCAAAAAAACTTACTTTTAGCGTCCTTGATAATCGCCTGTTACCTTCCTCTGGTAAAGTCTCTAATGCACTCACATACAACGAGCTTTCGTCTGATTTTTCGGCGTCAAAACTCCGTCTTAGATTGACGGTTTTAAGCGGAACCTCGACTGTTTTTTCTTCCTTTTTCGTTATTTGCTTGATCCGCGACACTTGTTTCGATTTGTTTTGAGCACTATCAGGTTTTGGCACAACCTTGCTATCTACAGTCTTTGACGTGCCAACAGGCTGAGGAATCGTTTTGACGGACGTGCCAATGGTAACTTTTTTTGCCACCTTCTTACTGGCATCTTGAATTTGAGCACTTATAGTTTTGCCAATGGCCTATAAAGAATTTTTTTTTGTTATATTTGTTTCAAAATTAAATCCAAGACAGACTAGTGAAATAAACACTTACATTCGTTATATTCCCAAGTGCAGAGCGCTTCGTCATTTTTTCTTTAACGGGCGACACATCCGCTTTCCGTTTATTTCTCGTATCTTTGATTAAGAGAGGCTGCTGTTTCTTTATTTGCTGTGTGTTGATATTTTGCTGTCTGGTCACCAGACCCCTTCGAGTCATGACTCCAGGGACTTGTGTTCCCGTTATTATTGTTGTTGCTGCCACTTTGCTAGTTTGCGAGGTCACTGCCTTTGGAGGAGCCATTCTTAAGGCTAAGTTTCTTGTGTCTGCTTAAATCTTATCTGAAATATAGGAAAATAATGTGGTTACAATAAGCATTCACATTTTACCATATACATGTATACTGTAGTAGATTTAAAGATTTTAAAGCTGAATTATGATTTTGAACTTTGAACTGATGAGGAACTTTAAAAGTTACATAAGCGAGTGTCTATACTCTATATATGTATAACTTGGTAGTACTACATTGAAAATTCCGTCTCTTCAATCTAAATCTCTCCAAATCGACTTCATTCTTAGCATGTTTCCTAATATGAAAATACCGCGAACGAAAATTTCGTCTATAGGCACTTTTATCTCTTTGTAGCCTTTAAATTTCGAAAAACGCTTTCATGTATCCCTGCCTTTACTGATTTTTCCAATTATACGAATCGTTAAATAAATTTATTTGACCTACCCACTCAATAAAACTGCGAGCAAACCGGACAATACATAAACATCGCCTTTCCTTGCACCTTAGAAAAACGCTTTAGACTAAGTATGAATTTTCCACTGGTATAAATCCAATACATATTAAGCGGTTTCAATGTCGAGTCCGGACTTCGGACTGTCCGGAGGGAGAGAAAAATTTCGAACGTAACGTATTTACGACTGTCCCCCGCTTACAAGAACACACAAATACACGCGAGAAAAAAAAAAAGAATCAAAGGGCATACTAGATGCATATACCATAACCCACACGTATACGTACACATGCACATCCGAGCATTCCGAGCCAAGCCCCCGCCGTTTCTTTCGCGTAACCGTCTTCTCTCAGAAAACAATCGATTTTCCAACCCCTACATAACCGTGGATCTCCGAGTCTTCGCTTGCAACGAAACTTAAATACTTAATAATGCGATTGCCCGCAAAATAAAGTAGGCCTTTAGTCAGAAATCACGACTAATTTTCATTAATTCTCCAAGGGACTGCGTACGTGTCGGCGGTGTACGTACATGGCGGAAGGCACTTTTTCAAGCGCACTCATGCACTCACGTACTCAATCCTCTCTCTCTCTATACTTACTTCTCCCCTCTGGCTCATATTAGCTCGAAGTCTCGAACGCGCGCTCTATTCCTCTTTTCGTGGACGGATAATGAGTAAAAGTAACTCGTGAAAAAGCGATTATTTGTGCTGATAAGCAAGTACACGAGCGCGTGGTCTTAAATTATAAATTAATGTATTGCACAAAAAACACAACAGTTCCTACCTCCTCCTGCACCACCTCTTCTTCTTCTCTACGAAGCAAAGCAGGGTAATGATGTGCCTACAAAGTAACAGCAACACCGTGAGAGCGCAGCGTACTTATAGTTGGAAAATAAAGGCAACGCACGACGTCAACAACACACCACAGCAAAACACCCGAGGCTCGACTCAACTCATCGATGAGGTGGTCATTTGTAATAACGAGTAAACCTCCTCGCGCGGCCGGACCGAGAGGAAGGGACCGCAAAAGCACACGAACCCGAGCTCTGCTGTCTCAGACTCGCATCTCGTCTCTGAAAAGGTCTCGTCGATCTCTCCTGTCTGGGAGTCCGTCCGTTGGGTTTCCTTTCGGCCGGAACAAGGGTGATGTCCCTTGACGCTTTTTTGAACAAAACCAGAACAGCGTGGTTAACCGTTGCTGTTCAACTGACTGCGCGATTGGCGGATACTGGGACGGCACAGGCCAATGAGATTTGAGGTTGGGTTGCAAGAGCGACATCTGGGCCGTATGGGGTTAGTGGGGTTGCCGAGAACGCCGTCAGAGGTACGCGTCGCACTTACCGCGCGTTTTTTGACCTTTTGTAGATTTACTTCTCCCTCTCTTTCCTTTCGGGATTTGCTATAGGGGTTCTTTTTACTTATATGTATATATATATATATGTAGTCTCTCGCTCTCTAAATGGTTTAATTCTTCACCGACTTTTGGGCAAGCGTGAGCAGACTTGTCGAGGTCGAGCCGTTAACTGTACACCGCGCAGAGGGGCCTGGTTTGTATTTTTATGAATGAAAAAGATGGTGAACCTTTTAACTAACTCCCTTTATTGATAATAATAGATATTGTAGATGTTGAGCTATTTTTTGAAGTTTAATTATTATAAACATGCAAGAACGACAATCTCCACAAGGGCACGAATTAAATTTCCAATAACAATTAAATTCCTTTCAACTATAGGTGTGGATTTTATTTTATAAAAATACCGAATGTTAAAAATTTATGTTACAAGCCTTTAACGATAAAATTTATATTAATACTTTAAGTCTATAATTATTTACGCATATGGTAAAATGTCCTTACTCCTTACTTAGTAAGGAGATCTGAAATCTCTAATCACATCATTCTGATCGGGTGATGGATTTTGCAACAAAAAAAAAAAATAAATAAATAAACATCAAACGTCATTTGACTCAAGTGCAACAGCTGACAGTCACATGCTCGACGCCACGACGTCCCGCGCGCGGAAAGGCCGCAAAGTATAATAATAAAGCAATGTATTAAAAGAGGAAGACGAGAAAATAGAAAAAGAGAGAACGCTCGTATTTAAACATATAACATATATATGTGCAACTCCAAAGTGGAGCGAGTGAGAAAAACATATCTCTCTTACGTCGGACGCGAGAGTTGTGCAGTTTCTCTTAGTTTTTTTTATTTAAAATACTTATGAGTAGTAAAAGGAATTGTCAAGGTATCTTAGAGGATATTCCTGCTCGCATACGTTGATTATACAGTAAAACAAGTTTCTTTTCTTCTCGAAAGACGGGCACGCAAGTGATGTGATCCGTCCGTGCGAAGCAACACCGGCTGACGCGCAACGTGTTTTCCATTGCTCAAATGTGTACTGTACGTGTCAGTGTATAAGTACGTGTTCGCGTTAATAAAACGTCTCGCGCATCTTTCCGTGTAAGTATATATACTTAATATAACGACGGTTCTTTTCTCTAATTTTTTTTCCTCCGCTCTCGAGTCGCGTTTTTTTATTCTGTTCAGGACTTCTATGTATAAGGTATATGTTACAACTTACAACACGCACGTTCGCTTCTATACACATATAATTGTTACGAAATGCGTGCGTATACGCATTTGGTATTTAAATTTTTACAGAGTAATCGTGAATTTTTTTTAAAAACGAACAAACGGTATTATTTGTGAATTTTCATGAATTCCATGAGAACAAAGTATCGAAAAATAAATAGTCAACTGTATGAATGAATGAACATTTTTTGAGTAATAAGTAAATAAACCAATTCACAATCGTATCAATCGAAAACTAATATACATCATCGAAAATACGATTGATACGGAAGGTATCTGAACACAGATTAATAAAAATTGTGTCAATAATAGTGAGAAGTTAATTTTGACGTATAAAGTTATTCCAAACCGCAGAAAACAGAGGAATACAAGAAAAGACTAAAATTCAAATGCGACATGATAGACGAACGATTCACAGTCAAGTACATCTCGGTCAGTACTTGCTTTGTTTATTTGCCGGAGCACCGACTCAGAAGATTATACTCACGGGTAAGTTTATTTAATAGAATCTTTATGTACCTCTATTTACTTGTATTGAGAAAAAACCAACATTTGAACAACTTACGAATCTTCACACTCACAAATGACTAGAATTATTTCGAAGCTGCAATCCTCGGCTTTTGAGCTGACTTTAGTTGGGCTTTTTCAAAGTCACGAGACGGACTGGCGATCGATTTTGAAAACAGGGGTGTGAGCGTGTGAATATTTGCGGGCAATACAAACGGTTTTCACCTTTTGCGAATTCGTCCGTACTACAGCATTACGCGCTCTGTTATGACGGAAACTTATTTTGCTCCGATTTTTCGATCGATAATACAGAGCCTGGTACTTACTATCAGTACCAAGGTACACTGGCTTACCGATCGTTAGTCAACACTTTTTGATCTACCGAAATCAATCTTATCGACCAATGATAACTTTCCCGTCAACAGATATATATGATGTTTTAGTAGATCATATTTTAAAATAAATATTTTTATGTGTCACTTTATCCACGTAAGTATGTATATTTTATTCAACTAATGTTAGTGACATAAAATTAATGAATTGAGCATTGCTTGAATTATTCTTGATGTAAAAACCGAATAGGCTACTACATGCGTACGAAAGAAACGAGTTACACGAAAAATCGAATGATCCCAGTGATATTTGGACGAGATCCGATTACAAAAACATAACAATAACATTGATTTGTTGTCAGGAAAACCAAACGTGCGTGTTCTCGTACCATTATAATAAATACAAGTATCAATCACGCATTATCGTCCCCCGGATTATATAAATAAAGGTTTGCGTATATGTATGCACACAAACGACAAAGGGGGCGGGGGGGGGGGAGGGGGTTTGCCCCCAAATACCTCTCCTCCGCGCGCACGATAATTTCCGCGGAAAATCACAGTGCGCGGGAGATTTACGCGAAATATCCGGTTGATCGGCTGCTGTATATTACACAGCCGAAACGTCGAGCGTAAAATTATATCCGGTTTTTGCCGTGTATTTAACAACGTGCAACCCCCCCCCCCCCCTCTTTTCCCCACAACTTCACACTTTGGAAATGTATACATAGGTACGTATAAATATATCAGCGCGTAGGTATAGATGTTATCGGCGCTTGAAATCGCTATTTACCGCTTGCCGCGTTAATATGGATCAACAGTTCATATACATGGCTTCGAACGCGTTTGCTTTATAATATACACATGTATAGGGCACTTTGATGAGTTATTTTCCGCACAACGGTCCACCGGTCTTTATTATTGAGCGACAAATAATGAAAGTGGAGGGATCGAGCTATACCGTTTCATTGATAAAAGAGACACAAATCATCGAGATTCAACCTATAAAAATTAATAAATATTACATTTATTTTTAACCGTGTCTCTTGCAACCACAATCTGTTTCGCAGGTACACCATTGCAGTATATTGTATAAGATGCGATCACAAGCTGTTTACTCCCCATATCAAAACAATCAATCATTTTAAAATCACAAAGAAAAATAAAAAAAAAAAACAAAAAAAAACCACCCACGTATGCATAATTGATTGTACTCACGAAAAAAGGGCCATTTCGCAGGAGTCGAGCGCAGTATGCGTCCGTCACAACGAGTTCACCTACTACCTGTCCTGGTGCTCGGCGCCAGGCCCGGATTCCGAGTCCCTTTGCATCGGCGCCACCTTCGCCCAGAGTCTCGGCATCAGGGAAGGCGACGAGCTCCTCGTGACCAGCATCGACGAGGCACCCGCACTCACGAGCCTCGTCGTCGTGCCCAAGAGCGCGCAGGACCGCGTCGTGCTGGTTAGTTGCGTGCTACTATACCTACACACATCATATTTTTATCAATAAAATCATGATGGCTTCTGCGAAAACTGTTCACTTTTGCCAAATTAAGATTGTACCCTATTCGAATCGCGTCCACCGATATTACTTATAACAACAGCTACAGTTTTCGTAAAAAATCCAAAGTATTGCCATGTACTACTTGACTTGTAAAAAAAAAAAAATCACGATAATCCAATGCGAATTAGGAGCTGCAAAGTGACAACGTGCAGTCGAGATTGCTGGACCAGATAAGGGTCGTAGCTAAGAATCAGCCGATAGTTGCTTGGACTTCCAGATACAATCACGTGACTGTGATCGTTGGTAAGCAAGACCCTAACTATATCCAGGATCAAAAGTACAAACAACAGGAAGACAAACGCGTACTTGTACAATCTTTGATCCGCAGACTCGATGAGCCCCGAGTTTAAGTACGGGCGGTTGGAAAACCTCACGGAGGTCCACGTGGAGGGCGAGGCGACCTCTCCGAGGCAGACCGCTGCTTTGCATCCTCTCGACGTCATCGGCTCTCTGCCGACACCCTTGCGGCTTCCAAGCGATACTAGCCGCCGGGTTTACCGAGTCCATCCTTTGCCGGACGAGCTGTTCGGTACTTTGGATAGCCAGAGCGCGTTGGACGAGTTGTCCAGGTCGCCCTTTTGCGTCCACGTGCGGAAGGAGCTTCTGCCACCCGAGACGGCTGTAGACTCTCCCGACCTGTTGTACAGGATCAAAAAGGTCAAGGAGGACAGATTGCATGCGAAGACCCAGGGTGTCAAGCTCGACAGGAGGGCCAATGCCGAACAGGAGTTGGTGGTGAGTGGCCGGGGAAATCTGGAGTTGTCGCTGGCTCGATACATTGGGACCTCTGTTTCAGGTTAAAGTACGCGTGGCCGAGCACGCGCTGGCGAGGCTCCGAGGGAGTTGCGAAGGCATCGAGCGGTACTTTACCGTCTTCGAGGGTAGCTTCGACAACGTAAATGCTAGGCGTGACCTGATGGACAATCTTCTCTTGAAAACCGGCGGTAGAGTGAAACTCGAGCCGGTCAACGAGGGGGAAAGAAGCGATTGCACTGGTATCGAGGTGTACCCTCTCGATAGGCCCATCACGGCCGAGGAGTTTGTCGATTACGTGAAGCGAAACTCGAAGTACGGCGAGATGCTGCTCAATTCGCAGGCTACCATCGCTCTGGAGGATGGGACCAGGTGCCTGGTGAAGCTGCTACCCGAGGACGGCTGCTCGTACGGATTCTTCGACGGGAGGGTGCTCGGGAGGATCGAGGTTAGAGTGAGCGACGCCGCGAGCATCGAGGAGAGCCGGCCGCTCGAGCAGCCGGCCGGCGAAGAGGGCGCTGCTGCGACTACCGTAGCGAGCGAGTAAGTCGTCGTAGAGAGATGCATGTCACTGCATCCGTACTTACTTACTTGTTGATCGTTGCGTGATGTACGTTGCAGGATATTAGAGCCGGTGATTCGGGAAGCCACGTGTGCTCTCAGACTGAGCCTGGGCCTGCACGGTATTCGGGGCTTTGACTACGGCAGAGACAACGCGCTAGTGAGCGGTGCGACAGGTTCCGGAAAGACCACGAGCTGCAAGCTGCTCGGTAAACTGCTGAGCGAGCCGCCTTACTTTGCGCACGTGCGTTTTGTCGACTGCAAATCTTTGAAAGGTCCTTTTATCACATAATATATATAATTGTTATATACTTTTTACATGCTACGTGTTCGAACAAAAGTATAATTTGTTTATTGTATAAATTATTACTTTAGGCAAAAAAGCTGAAGTTGTACAGAAATTTCTGACGGCGGAGGTTTCCCAGGCCGTTTACCATCAGCCTTCGGTGATCTTTTTTGACGACGTCGATAGTATAACCAGTGTGAGCTCGAGTACGGACGAGAACACGCCGGATGCGATAAACGCCGCGAGGTATGAAGCTGTTATTTGTTTTGATATACATATACTTACTGTGGTCGTATTTATGGTAAGGTGGGATAAATGATGTTTCAGGATAACCGATGCCATACACGGTGTGATTAGCGAGTGTCAGAGGGAAAATTACGTGTCGATTGTCGCCACCTGTACGGATGTCAAGAAAATCGGCCAGAAACTGCGAGAAGCCAGAGGCGTTCACTTTTTTTGCACCATGCTGACGATACCGCCTTTGGAGAAGGTACAGTATCCGTACCAACGAAACCATTGTTTTTTTTTTTTCATCGATTAGTCAAATCTCCCTTTGTAAAAAGTACCGCGCGAAAGGTAAAAATACCCAAATTGAAGGGAAAATAAAAAATTTTGTTTTAAATTGCCTGGGTATGTCGACAGGCCGAGAGAATGGAAATCCTAAGATCGAGTCTCGAGGACAAATTGCAGCTCGCGCGCACGATCGATTGGGAACATTACGGTAACAAAACGGAGGGCTGGGTCGCCCAAGATCTGATAGTCCTCGCGGACAAAGGCGCCTTTGGCGCGTGGAAACGACACGGTATGTATCTCCGAGAGACGATAAAATCGTCACGGCTTTATTTTTTCTAACCCTCTCCTTTTTCGTCGCAGTTAAGGAACGATCGGAGGGACGGTCACCCATGCTACTGAGTACCGATCTAGAGGACGCGCTGACGCGATGCAGTCCGCTCTCGCTGCGCGGTGTCGACCTTTACCGGGGCGAGGGCCACACGTGGTCCGACATAGGCGGCCTGGCGGACGTCAAGCTCACCCTCGTCGAGATACTGCATTGGCCCATCAGGTACCCCAACATATTCAAGGCAGCGCCCATCAAGCTCCAGAGCGGTGTGCTATTGTACGGTATGCCCGGCACGGGAAAGACCATGTTGGCTGGTGCCATTGCCAAGGAGTGCGGCTTAAATTTGATTAGCGTCAAGGTGGGTTACGCGTGTATGTTACATTTGCGTGCGTTACAATTGGAATGAACATAAATTGTGCTCATCGATGCTTCGCGTTGGTTGTTCAAGGGCCCGGAACTTTTGTCCAAGTACGTCGGGGCGAGCGAGGAGGCCGTGCGCAACGTCTTTGAAAAGTAACTTACCGTAAGATTATCATTGTTGTTGCTGTTGTTTTTTTTTGCATCTACAAGTAACTGACAACTGTTGCAGAGCCCATCGAGCCAAGCCCTGTGTCTTATTTTTCGACGAGTTCGACAGTCTTGCCCCGAGGTAACAGTTTCTTTTTTATTTTCGATCGTCACGCTATAACATTATATGAATGCAATTGTTGTCGTACGTTTGAAGATTTACGTAACGGTGTAATGTTGTACTCGACGATTGGCAATAAGAATAATTATTTATCAGTAAAATACACGGAGAAAAAACAACAACAAATGACAATTTCAGACGAGGTCAAGACAGTACTGGGGTAACCGATCGCGTGGTTAATCAGTTGCTGACGCATCTGGACGGTATAGAGGGCAGGGAGGGTGTAGCAGTGGTGGCTGCCTCCTCGCGACCGGATCTCCTCGATCCTGCCCTCCTGCGTCCCGGTCGCCTTGACAAGGCGCTGCTGTGTCCCCTGCCTGACGAGGTAAGCCCTCGGTTGGCCAACAACGTGCGAAACATGTGTTGTTGTATGTTTCTTTGGTTTGTATGATTTTTAGAACGACAGGAACGAGATTTTGCACTCGTTGAGCAGAACTCACGGGGTTGATTCGAGCGAGCTCGACTTGGAGGCTATTGCCCGAATGACTGCTGGCTTCACAGGGGCCGACTTGAACGCTATTCTGGTGCAGGCCAGGTTGGACGTGATTGAGGAGGCCATGGAGTCGACTTCTGTGGTGATTTTTTTTTCTTCCTCCGATCGACGAATTGTGCGGAGTTGACTTGAATGATTTTTTTTAGGAAACGAAAGAACGGTATGCTGAAGCGAAGGTGACGCAAAGCCATTTGCTGAGAGCAGCTGAATCGTCGATGCCGTCGCTGCTCACCGCGGAAAAACAAAAATACAACAGGATGTAAGAACATTTTCTTCTCTCATACCCTTGATAAATGGTTTTTTTGAGGGCATGATTTTTTTTTTTTTTTTTTTAATTTTAGATATGAAAAGTTCGCTAGAAGCGAAAGCAGCGTCGTGGACGAGATGAAGCACCAAAAAGCCACGTTAGCGTGAACTGATATACTTACCTTCGTGTGTATCAAAAGAGGGGAGATATAAATATATGATGTTGAATTTATTTTTTCATGTGAGTACAATCATTGCTGGGAAACTGTACAATTTTATTCTGTTTTGTACATCATACATGCGTGTAAAATATCTTTTTTACAAGAAAATTAAATACCTCAGAGAAAATGTATTTAAAATTGCCAATGACCATTAGTTTCATCCAAATAATTCTAAATTAACGCAAAATGTATCGTAAAAACACTTGAGGTGCATGACAATATTGAAATGATTGAGCCAAATAATAAGTTCCTAATGAATAATGCCAAACGATGATAAAAAAAAAAAAAAAAACAGTGTGGAGCGATTTGGACAATTCAAGTCATTTTGTATGAATTTTTGTCAACATGCAAGCAAAAGATTTTTTTTTATTGTTAAAGTACAATAAACATTGTGCCGTGTGCCCTACCAAAACTCGACACCTCTTATCACGACGCTGCGGACAACATCATCGCCACTGGTTGTAGGTACATATAGAATTAATATACCCACCATCAGGTGTAAGCAGCCCGGCCTCCGATGTAACTAAGGAAACGACGGGGGTTTATTAACACGCGCCCTTCACCGTGTAGTCCTAAGTTTTCGCTCCGCTTGATGTAATACACATAGGTACACCATCGTATATATACATCCCTTGCACTGGCCCTACTCCCTCTCTCTCTTCCGTGTGCACACCTCGCTGAGCGCCGAGGGCTTTATTATCTCTTACCCACGCCCGGCTATGTACGTAATCCGGTACTCGGCTATACACACGGTTGCCCGATCGGCTCCGCCAGTACCCATCTATATTTTTATTATTAATCTCGCCCCTGATTTCATCAAGCGCACGAAGACGCTTTCTTTCTTTTTTTTTTTTTTTTTTCTCCCTCCCAATTTCGTTATTCTCCCTTATCAAACGCTAAAAACGATGCCCACTACTGTAACATAATATATTTGATACAACTTTGCCGTGAAAGCATACATGTATATTGTGTACCTGTGATGTTCCTGCATTACCATGGAGCTGTGCATCTTCTCCTCGAAAGCCGAGCGATGCGAGCAAAAGAGAGAGAGAGAGAGAGGAGATAAAGAGTACCATACAGATTGTCGACTTCCCCGTGCGCGGAACCTCCTCGCACAAGCTACCCAACTTTTCGTATTAATAATCGGTATAATAATTAGTATTTTCACGCGCGACTTAGCACCACCAAGCAAGGAGAGAGAGAGAGAGTAACGAGGAAGAGGATCCCGTATTATATTATATACCTTATACTCTACATTATATGTATACATACACATAAGGTTAAACTCCAAAGGGGTGCGGCCTATTAGCCCGGGCTCCTCTTCGCGTAACAAACTTGCCCGCGCCCGCCGGATACATCTTCATTTTAAGTTATTCGCACCACCGTGTGCATATATATCTACTATATATACACACGCACAAGTTGCACGTGTATAATATATATATATATATTTATGTATATATGTATAAATATATGCACACGCCATACATCACCACCACATATTTCTCTCTCGCTAATGTTTCGCCGGCTTCTTCAGATAAACCGGGTGTATGTGTATATAGGTATACCAACTCGTGATTTAATTTAACTTTGCTTCTTGACGACATCCGCCTGATGCGCTGGATGTATCCGGAGGTTGGGGGGGGGGGGG